CTGTGCTTCTTTCAAGCTATAATTAATAGTCGTATATAAAGTAAATTTGTGGCCATTCTCACTGTGATTGCCTGTATATTTCATTTGTGTACAACGTGGTAGTCCAGGCATGCAAGGCAGTGCTCAGGGTCTCAAAAGGATGACTCTGGGTTCAAATGTGATTAATGGAGTTGTCTCAGCGCATTGCTTACTTTTTTTAAATCCCAGGTTCCTCATCTGTAGAAAAGGATAAAAATAGTCTCCACCTCACAGGCATCTTGTGTTGATCCAATTAACTAATGTTTGTGAGGTTCTTAGTACCGTCCCTGGTACAGGGGATGTACACAAGTAACACTAGCTATGAGTTGTTATCAGTTGTATGGTTTGGGAAATAATCTCTGTTGAATCCATAGTCTTCATAAGGCTGAAGAGCGCTATCATTATCAGGCCCATTTTAAAGGTGAAGAAATGGGCCCCCAAAAGTCAAGAGACTCAAGATCACACTGGGCCTTCAGAGCAGGGGTCCAGGACTGTCCAATGTTATTGGCTCCTAAGAAGGGAGTATGCAGCCCAGACTCAGATCCACCCCATGCTGGCACCTGTCATCTGTCCTCAGCAAGGCAGACAAGCAAAGACACAAGTGAGAGCTTTTTTGTTTTTTGTTTTTTTGGTCCCACAAAAGTGACATTGGCAAAGACTGTAGCTGAGGAATCTCCTCTTAATTACCCTGCATCCTGCCCAGAGCTCATCAGGAAAGCTATGACTTAAGATCTCAGAGTTAAAAACCTAGTACTGTGGATTTGGTATAGAGGGCATAATTTTTGCTGTGCAACTTTGAACATAAAGAACATTGCATTAATTTACCATATTTTGCCATGTGTAATGCACACCCACATTTTTGGCCCAAACTTTTGGGGGAAAAATAATCTTTCATTTTAATTTTTAAAATTTTTTAAATAAATTTATTTATTTATATTTAGAAACAAAACCAATTATCATATTCCAGGGTATTATTTTGCACACAGATATCATTATTGCTTTCTAGAGTTACCCTTTTTATGCATATGCATAAATGAAAGCATTAAAACCACTTGTATAGATATGGAATTAGTACTACCCATGTATGATACACATCCTTATTTTTCCCTCAACAGTTTGGGCAAAAAAAGTGCACATTATACACAGCAAAATACGGTACTTCTCTAAACCCAGTTAAATCTAATTATATTCTCACTTACCAAGAGGCAAGAATTCACTCTTTCCTTCAATTCACATTGTATATCAAGGCAGGAAAAGGGTCTCTTATCATCAATCCAGACTAGTTGCCACTGAGATGCTCAGTATCCAAGAACTTGAGATCCATTTTAAAGCCAAAGACCCCATTCCTACTGGCCCTACACCAAGATCCCTTGCCTAAGACGCCTCTCTTAAAATTAAGTACCCCCACCCAGTGTCCACAGGTGCCCTTGTGAGGCACGCATACAGATGTGACCCCTTTCCTGCTTCTGGAGGTGCTATGGCCTTTCTCCATCCCTTTTTATACCTCTGATTCCCAAGCATCAGAGCACCTCTCCTCTCTTTAAGAGTTCACCTCTTTTCAAAACAAAGCTTCCTAACTCTGTGTGAGAGAGGCAAGGGGAGCCCCCAGTGTTTAGGTCTCAAATCCTGCTTGCCCTCTGCAAGGGCACAGGGACAGTGTTTCTCTTTCTTTCTGAAACTTCTGCTGATGTGGAAGCAAAACACGGAGGCGAATGTCCAGAAACCCACTGAAAATGGAAACTCTTCTTTCATCACAATTGCATGTTAGGGCGGGCAGGTGAACCAACACTTTGCAAAGGTCCTTTGATGCTTTAGGCCTTTGGGCAGAACTGTCTGCATTCTCCATGCTGTTTGGAAAGCAGACCATTGCAAAATTCTGACTGACAAGGCTTGTCACCCATCAACCCCAAGGATCACACTGGTGAAATAGAGACTACATTTTCTCCTTGTTTTCATTCACTTCTAGATAAATTTTTAATTTTATCTCATTCATTGAATTTTACCATGGTCTATTTATCTTAGTACTTAAATTCTGCAAATAAGGTTTGTCTTTCCTAAATTTTCTTTTTATCCTCACCCAAGGACTTTTTTTTTTTTCATTGCTTTTAGAGAGAGAGGAAGGGAGAGAAAGAAATGTTGATTAGTTGCCTCTTGCACATGCCCAGACCAGGGATCAAACCCATAACCTCGGTGTGTGCCCTGACTGGGAGTCAAACCTGTAACCTTCAGTTTATGGGATGATATTCCAACCAACTGAGCCACACCGGCCAGGGCTGTCTTCCCTAATATCCATTCATTCTCTGCCTGGGCACCAAACTTAAAAGGCTTAGGGGGTAAAAAGATCCTGTGCCATGTACTAGCCCAGGTCTTGCATGGAAACAGTGAGAATAAAACACATAAAGGCCCTTACAGGGCTTATGCGTATACTGCCAGGCCCTGTTCTAAGTGCTTCACATATACTGATTCATTTAATCCTCATAACAGCCCCGTGAAGTAGCCAGTATTCTTACCCCCATTTCATAGATGAGAAAAGTGAGGCACAGAGAAACTTGCCCAAGGTTGCACAGCTCACAGGTCGCTGAGGCAAGACTCAAGCCCAGGCAGTTGGAAACCCATCTCTGCCCTTGTCATGGGGCTGTGAATACCCATTGTGATTAAGTGTTTAGAAACAAATAAACAGGGTAATGATACAAAGAGTACCTGGACTAGGCCTTTGTTGATCAGGGAGGGTTATCTAGGAGGCAGCCTTTGAGCCACGACCTGAACGATGACTAGGAGGCAGCTATACAGAGAGTGGGCTTGTGAGGGCAGAAGAGCATTCAGGCCATGAAGAACAAGAAATACAGAAGTGAAGAGAAGAAAACAGTTGCTCAAGGGCAGAAAGATGGCCTGTGTGGCAAGCATAGAGGGACAGGGAGATTAACATGTGAGGAAGATGAAGAGAATGCTTCAAGAGCAATGAGAAGCCATTAGCAGTGGTTAGGTTTGCAGTGACATGATCTGAGTTGTTTCTAAATTCGCTGGTTGCTGGGTAACAAGGACATGAGTGGGAACCTAGAATACAGGGACCTGGGAGAAGGTTATGGAGCTGGGGGCTCTGGTGGGGTCAGGTGGTAAGAGATAAGGCTGGGTGGATAAGGATGGCTTAGCACTCAGGTCATTCTAGCCATCTGGAAAAATGTGGGCTTTATTTCTAAGTGCCAGGGAAGCCCTGGACAGCTTTAAGCAAAGAAGTTCTATGATCAGATCTGGTTTTTAGGAGAGTGACTCCAGCTGGCGTGGAGAAGGCATTTCAGAGACAAGACTGGACGGAGCCTAGTCAGGAGGCTACTGGAGACACCCTGATGCAAGGTGATGTGCACAGAGCACGGCCGGGGCAGGGTTACTTGTCTACAAAGATTAACCAGAACCAGGCACTGTTGGAACATGTCAGAAAGCGGCTGCTCCTAAGGAACTTTTCAGAGATTTTTTTTTTTTTTTTTTTTTTTAAATAGGAATGCTTGGTGATGACCTGAATGTGAGGAATGAGTGAATGGAAAGCAATAAAAGACCTTTTATCTCTGTTTCTGGCTTGTGGGGGTTGGACAAGTGCTATGTAGTGAGATAGGGAACCTGGACTTCTGGTGGGACAGGTTCAGTTTAGGACATACTAAAAATTCCAGTGGCCATGGTGGTAAAGGAGCAGTTGGATGGAATCCTAAGGATGGGGGCTAACTAACTGAAGGGAAATGGTGGGCTTGGATGGTTTCCTCAATCATTCCCTACTAACTATTGCAGTTAGAAAAAAACATCACAGGAAACAGCCTGTGTCCAAAGAAATAACACTCCCGAGTTCCTCAGGACAGGAAGACATGGGCTTCAATTGCATTTCGAAAGACCTGGGCTTTGCATTAGAAGGGTCCTCAAGGGCTCAAAAAGAATGGGCACATCCCGTTCAGGAACAGCTTCTCTGACTCAATTCCGGGTCAGGACAAGTCACCAGCACAGGCAAGACAGCTTGAAGATAGGGAGTCCCAACTTTTCCTCCAACGCTAACTAAATACAGAGTTTCCTTTTATTGACTATGAGACATCTTGAACTCTCAAAATTTTTCTTCGGAGGTATTTAGAGAAGAACACAATGGGGGTATGCTGCAAAGATCAGCAGGAAGAAAGGACTGCAAGATTCCTTTCTATTACAAAGTTTGTAAGGTTTCACTCCTGCCAGTGCCCTGGAAATGTTGGTGCTAGGTCTACCAAGGTCTCCTTCAACTAGTGAGAGGAGAGCCATTCTCTCCCTTGAATAGTGGATGGATAATGAATGGGTGGATGCTGGAAAATTCAGCGATGAGTGAGTTCTAGAGAAAGGTTTTTTATCCTAGACAAGCTAGCTCTTCCATGTTAGCTAAGCGGTGCCCCTGTCTGCTTTGCTCTTTATTTAATCAACTGTGTTTTGACAATTTATGAAAAAAAAAAAAGTGTCTAGAGCAAATTGAACTCCTGAAGCAATAAACATTTAGACATGCCATGTGAATTGAGTTATTGTTCTTGGTAGGGATATTCTCTGAATTTGTTTCTCTTTTTTTTGGGAAGGAGCACTTGTCAGGTTTTCCTCCCCCCACGGGTCTCTGGAAATGGAAGTCTCCTTTCCCCAGTAATTGTTGCGAATGCCTGACAATAGCCCCCTGGCTGGGTTATCTCGCAGGAACTTCCATTCCCAAAGAGTTGAGGGGAGATTAAAATTCAAATACAAGAAGATTGTGCTAGCTGTAGGGAGCTACACCTTCAGCTAAGCCCAGGCAAAGTCGTTACTTTCCTCGGCTCACAGGGTAGGTTTTTGTGTGTTTTTGTAGGTTTTATGGTGGGGGTAAAGGGGACCATCCGTTTTAGATTCCCTTCTCTTCCTCCCGCATAGCCTCTCCAAGTCCGCAGCCTCCTTCAGGATCTAACTTTGTCCCGACTGCGTGTGCGTGCCCAGCTCAGAGCTACTGAGGCTCCTGGCTTTTACGGGCTGTGGCAGGCGAAGCGCGGGCGGGGACGCTCATTGTGTCCAGCGCTCAAGGCAGGGGCTAGGGACCCCACGCTGGCCGCGCTGGGGGAGCGCGCTCTGTGCGCGGGGGGCGTGGCGCGGGGCCGAGGGGCGGAGGGCGCCCGCACCATGCGGCGGGCCGGGCGCGGCGGGCGAGGGGCGGGCCGGCGGCGGGGCGCCCTGGCGCGCAGCCAGGCTCGGCGGGAGAGACGCGAGCGGGCAATGGGCTGACGGAGGGCCGGCGGCGGGGCGGGGGCGGCAGGGCGGGGGCAGCGGGACCGGCGAGCGGCTGCGGGTGCCGTGGAGTAAGAGGCAGAGGCGCCGGGCGTGGATGCCGCGGAGTAGGCCACGGGCCTGCGCTCCCAGGGCGGATGGGACGCCGGTTTCCGTGGATCCGCTGCTGCAAACCCGAAGTTCTTCGGCTCCCTGAGACGCTCAACAAATAAAAGGTAATGAATGTGTCTTTGTTTTCCAGCCGCTATCGCAGGGAGGCAATTGACTATGCAGCACTTGTGTGTCCTTTTTTAAAATGCTGGGCCGGTGAAAGGGACATGACACTTCTTAACGGAGGACGTAGAGTATATAATGTGTCGCGGATATGGCATTTTTCAATGCAAACCGCACGTGTGGCCCACACTACTCCTTTCTGCAGCCCCCCTCCTCTCCCATAGGCACTTTCCTTTGGCAGCGAACTCTCTGAATTTACCCAGGGAGAAAGAAAGGACATTGTTGTGGGCAGACCACGTGGGATTATTTTTAAAAACCGTTTTTATGGAAATGTCAGGGGAGTTCTGCCCTTTGGGTGCAAACGGCAACGATTCAGACAAGGGTGGCCAGAGACTGGCAGTGATCGCCGGCTGCCGGGGACTGCCAAAATGGACTGCTCTTTACATTCCAAATGGCTGCAGCAAGTTTGATGCAGAAAGGAAGGGGAGGAGGAGAGGAAGAAACCCCCTCTAGTACGTGGTCATTTAAAAATGACCCCACGCAATGCTTCTGTGTTTCAGGCAGCTGCCCAAATGTTGCTACACCTTACAGTTAGAAAAGATTAAACCAGCCCTGCACTTTGAAAGCTGTCTGGGCTGCCGGTGTGTAATCAGGAACTCGGTGCCTTTCTCCCATGCCTTGTTAGCAGAGTAACTGCTCCGTAGATTCAGGCAAATTCTGCGGAATTTCCAAGGGATGGCTGTGCTAATAATAGCTCTGGCAGTAGCTACTTCGTAGAAATACTCATTCTGAAAGATGCAGCCATGTCAGTGCCCCCTGGAAGCTCAGCTTGCTGAGAAAGGCCATCCAGGGCAGGAGAGGATTCCCTGACCCCACCATGAATGGATGAAGCTCTCTCTCCCCTATGAATGGAACATCCCAACAGAGGCTGCTGCTGCTGCTGCTGCTGCTGCTGCTGCTGCTGCTGCTTGCTGCTGCTGCTGCTGCTCTGGCTTCCTTCAGTGTGAATCCTTATTGCTTTTGATTGAAGGCATTCTCAGAACACCTAAGACAGGCACATTTCTAAATCCCAGCCATTCGAGTTGGACAGCGTAGTCAGTTTTGGAGTTGTCTTAGCCGTATGCAGACACCTAGCCCAGCCTAATTGATCTGCATTTACCTGATTGAGTTTTGAACAACTCCCCATATCCTCTTCCACCTCAGCATACATACGGGTCCTCCTTTCCAAAAGCATGACTGTGACTTGTAGGAAAGCACCGGAGAGCCAGGAGCCAACTTCTGACTTCACCCAGGGAAACCACCCCTGACCCTGGGGAAAGTATCTCAGGAGTTGGATGCAGAAATCTATCCCTTGCACTCAGAGAACTGGGTGCCATCTTTAAAATGTGCAGTAAAGTGGGGTTTTGGGGAGAGCATGGGAAGCCACATTTCATTGTTTTGTTTCTGGTCTTCACATTGCTTCAAGTTCATTCATAAAATTTCACCCCATTTCACTGGAATCTGATTTGGGCAAGGCCAGAAGAGCAGACCTCCAGATCAGCAGAGATTTGATTTTGATCCTCAAATTGTTGCTTGTCTCTCGCAGTTTGGAGTGTCAGGGGATGAGCCACTTCTGTTGGCTGAGGGACCCATTCTGGTGCAAATGAAATTTGGGTTTACTTAAGGCACAACAGGAATGAGGGTCCTGATGCAATAGATTAGAATCCATTCCATACTGAGAGGTTAAATAGCACAATTAATGGAAGCAATATTTGGACATGCTTTGAAATCACTATTTTGTCTGGCTGATGAATAGAATGTTGCTTCCAGATAACTGGAAGTGAAGTAACACCTGATGTGTAAAGTTGTGTGGATAGAAGTAACCTTTTAGAAAAAACAAAACAAAACAAAACCAGGGACAAAAAACTCTTCTTGTATTAAAGGGGAACTGTGGTAGTAGAAATGAGGATCAGAAAATTTCCTCACCTCTTTTGTTCTGACCAAGTATAGTCTGCCTCTGCTGTTGCTATAATCTTTTTGGCTCTCATCTTGAACTAATTTTATTAATAAGACTTGTTATTTATGGCACAGGGCCTCTGTGTAATTTGTAGACATTGTTGCCAAGTCCCCTGATAGCCTGGCAGGTGGCTCCTACCATTAGCATGATCTTGTTGTTGGGGAAACTGAGACCCCTTGAGGTTCAGTGAGTTGCTGATTTCATAACCCATGAGAACTGCATCCCAGATGTGTACAGTGCTCCATTTCATCATAACAGCAAAATTACAGTCTGAGGTCAAAGGCAAAGCCAAGTATGAGCCCTTGCTTGGGTTTTAGAGCTTGGAAAAAGCTCTGTGGAATGGTGTATACGTACACCAGAGGTGTGAAGGAAGGGCTCTGGAGCCAACGCTGATAAGTTGATTTAAAAAACGTGTGGATGGTTTGTGATGGGAAAGGCAGTAATGAGAGGGAAGATCCAGGAACTTTGGTATTGAGGGGGAGCTTTCAGGGTACCTTTGCTTTTTAGTAAGTGTGGGGTACAGTGAGACCTCTTCCAAGGAAGATCTTTATTGACTTTACTGCGTAAATATATCACTTGTGGTTACATTATTGATGCCTCTGCATGTGTGTGTGTGTGTGTGTGTGTGTGTGTGTGTGTGTAAGTAAAATACTTCTGGCTATACTTACATGCCACATATATATATTAGGAGTTGCCTTTAGTCTGACAAACCGAATGAAAAGATGATGGGGCACTTTCAGATTTAAGGCTTCATTCTTAAATATTCTGCATATGTAAATACTTTTTTAAAAAAAGGAGCAGTATACCTTATGGAGAATTTTCATTTAAATATTTCAAAATGAGAAATAGACATGCTAACAGATAAATAGCTGATGAAGTTATTTTAAACCATTCTCTGCATGGTATTGGAATATATAAGTTTGGATTCATCCATGACTTTAATTTGTAACTTTTATATTTTGAATAGCACCTGATGGGTCAATAAGATCTGAGGTAGAAATTCTCTGTTTCGGTCTATTGTGGGAAATTCTGGCATCTCTGCCCTTGCCAAGTGGCTCAGCTGGTTGAAGCTTCATCCTATACACCAAAAGGTTGTGGTGTGATCCCCAGTTGGGGTGCATACAACAGAGAGCCGATTGGTGTTTCTCTCTCACATCGTTGTTTCTCTCTCTCTCCTCCTTCTCGCCCTCTAATAAACATATTCTTGGGTGAAATTAAAAAAAAAATTAAAGACAATTTGAGCATCTCAATTAAAAATGATTTCTGAGTTCTAGGACCTCATAGAAATAAAATTCTTCCAATGCTTATTTGACCTAAATCCTAAAAACTATTCTTGAGGTAAAGGAGGAGAAAAAGAGCAACTGCCTCACCTGGACAGCATCAGTCGGTGCTCATGCCCGCGTTTCCTTGTGCCCTCATAGGACACTGGTTATCCTTTCACTCCCTCTTGTCCCTTTCTGATTCTTTGCTGTTCATTACTCTCTGAGAATGGAATTAAAGGCACAAAGGAAGACCTTTGATGTTTCCTAAAAGATAGGAGCTGAAGTGAGAAAAGGAAGAGAAGGGATCATTCCGTCGCTGTTGTGGGATGATACATAGATACTTAAACTTTTCCCACCTAAGCAAACTCCAAGACTGAAAAGTATCTGGGGAAAGGGGCTACTAAGAACTGAACCTGTTGGGGAAGGGTGAGATTTGAGTATTTTACCTTGTGGTGGTCATTCCAGCCATTATCAGACTGAAGTCCCTTGGTAGTGGTTTCCATTTTTATGCTTATTTTTCCTAGGCCATTTAATCTCAAGAGCTGGTCCAACAGCACCTGAACCTCTGGGCCTCAGGGTTACCATTGCGTACAGAGGCCTGCTGGTTTCACTACTCTTCTGTAAGAAGTTTTCTGAATCAGCATAACTCTGGCTTATTAAAAAGTCTCTCCACAGCAGTTTCCTTTTGGTTCCCTAAATCTGTCAGCTGCTACTACCCTTCCACTGTCCCATGGGATCAGCATGTCTTTCTCTCATGAGGAATAATCAAGGCACGTCCCTACATTTGAGGCAGCCTGTTCTACCACTAATGCGTTATTCTAAAAATACTCACCATTATGCCTTTCTCAGAAGATCAGAGCTGTTCCTGCTGTTTAGTGACTTGCATTCATGCTTATTTTGAGTGCTGATATGTATGTGTGTCCAGTTCTTAATCGTATCAGTGGAAATTAGGTATTTCCTCCCAAAAGAGAAATAGTTTTCTGTTTGATGATAGAAATTACTACTAAGAATAAATGCCATGATTTTTAGAAGGAATTTGAGGGCTCTGGTTGAGTTCACTGGGCTCTTTACTACCAAACAATCAAGAAGCAATGAACTGATAGCCTCTGTGCAAACCGAGTAACCCCTCTGCAAATGTTCAGGCAGAGCTAACTAATTCAGATGTGCAGTGTGTAGGATGTAGCTTGATAGGAAGTCAGATCTCTTATCTGTGGTGGTTTTGAGGTTTTTTTTGTTTTAAAATTAGCTTCAGTTTACTCCATGATTCATCACAAGAAGAAACTAGTTGTCCATGGTCAAGAACATGTGTGCATGTACACCTTTCTCCCCAAACTCTGACTACATCCACATGAGTTGTATTGCTCCTACCTTATGAGCAGTTATTTGCCAGTTTGTGGTTACTGCATACTTTCTGTTCACCTAATATTGAACCCTCTGCTCATGATGGGCACACAATAGATCCTGTTGGAGTAAGTAAAACACTCAAGGAAACTTTCATGCCACATTCCAACATTGATATTCAGGGTCCAACAGAAGTAATGCCATTGAGTGTGGTTGGTAGGGTGCGTGAATGTTTCACATGAGATGGACAGAAATTTGAACATTTCACCTAAAATGTCATGTGGTGTGCTTGCGTGTGATATTGTTATATTACAGAATTATATGCTTAGGAATTTGTAATAAAAGATTTGATATAGATTACCAGCTCATTAAAAAGGGGCATTATTGCCCTGGCTGTATAGTT